GCTCCACTTTAATATCATTACTCACAGAACCAGTCCAAGAAGCAGTACATCCGTTATAATCATCTTCCATATCGCCGTCACTCTTCAACCCTCTCTCTTTTCCTCCATACCCAAAATCTCTAAAAACGGGGCTACAACGGATCTGATACAGACTGATAGAGATTTGAAAATAGTCTGTCAGTGACGAGGAGCTCCGCCTATATGGCCAACTCTCCACCAATCAGGGGAATTAGAGGTTGCCGTGGCATGGTAACAGCATGGTAACATGACGCTCGTAACTCGGCCCCCTCCTTTGCAGGGGGGCGTGGTCAGCTGCAGCGCATGCAAAGACAGGGCTGGGGGAGAGCAAAATAGAGCGAAATGAAGCATGGCTAAAATGCATGATCTGTTTGGTATTTTGAAAAAAAAAAACGTATAAATATACCTTATATATGTATAGCCCTACAATATATTATTCAAATATAGCATGATATGTCTCCTTTAAAGAGCCTGTGACACGTACAAAGGTGCATTTTGCATGATAGGTCCCCTTTAAGATATTATAGGTCTCCTTTAAGTGCTTTGACAAAAAATCCATTAAAAAATGTCATCTGTGGAAGCCGTAAGTAGGCTACTGTAAAAAGCACGACCAATCATCTGAGCCGGCCTGGCTAAAATAACTGGATGGCCTACCTGCCTGTCAGCCTTCCATCTGTGCACAAACTTATCTTGTGCCCTCATTGGGCACGTGTGTGTTGGAGGAGGGGCTCTGTAAGGAAGTGGCAGATTTTCTCCGGTTGTGTATTTTCAAATTCCAGCGCACTCGTGCTGGTTTCTCCAAAGTTACCTACCCCACCTTTAATGGGATATTCATTCTCATATAAAGCTAACAATATTATTTTGTCTCATTGTAGCACATAAGCTTTAGTGATGAATAAACATGCAGAATGTCCATATTTTTTATATATTTCTTTGTTTAGCAAACTTGGGGCTCCTGAGACATACACACACCATACACTGCCAAATGCAAACAAAATGCCACCTCAGCTTAAGCAGACAGAGCAGGTTTATTATTCAATATCTCAAGGTTAGAACATTAATCACTTTGTGTTCGTGCTTTTCTTTGATTTCTCTGTATTAAATGTTGTTATTCTGTTTCTCAGATTGTGTGAAGGGCTACTACAAGAGAGCCAAGGCCCACGCCGCCGTGTGGAATGAGAAGGAAGCCCGGAGAGACTTCAACATGGTGTCCCACCTGGACACCACTCTGATCTCTCTAATCCACCGAGAGCTGAAGAACCTGTCAGAGAGCATGAAGGAGAAGTACTGGGAGGAAAGGGAGCAATACTGGAACATGCTGGAGACAAAGGAAGACACAAATGAAGAGGTAGAGGAAGAGGAGGAGGAGGAGGAGGCGGAAGGAAAAGGAAAGCAAGAGGACACTAAAGATGAAGTTGGGAAAGAAAAAGGTAAAAAGCTATCTCCATCTATCCACTGTGTTGAAGCCGATGCAGAAGCGCTCGGGGGAAATGAGGTTACACCAGCAGAGGGAATGGTTAATGAAGAGGAGACCAGCTCTTCTGAAATCAATCCAAACGATGCCAATAACAAAGAGGGGAAGGACTGGCAGCAGATGTTACGGCTGATCATGATGCTGCAGAAAGAAGGGAACTTCCTCATGAAAGAAAACCAGTTAAAAGAAGCTTCTCTAAAGTTCAAGGAGGCCATCGAATATGTGGACATCCTCCAGAACACGGTTAGTGTAATTAAATACAGAGTGAAGTTGTGTAAAACCACGCAAACAAGTCATCATTTTTTATTTTCAGGAAAGTGAAATGCCAAATAAAACCTTTAATGACGACAATGAACATCCAGATGGACGTCAGGATTGATGGCGAAAATATTAAACACAGCCTCCAGTCCTTTCAGAGCAATGAATGTGCCGAAAAGTAGTCTGACGAAAGGAGTGTGGCTCGTGAACCATAATCATCTGTCATTGTTTCTTTTCCTTTTTTTACTGAAGAGCAGCTGTGGCATTGTAGGTAGGGATGTGAAGAGCAGAGAAAAGAGCGCTAAATATAACAGCACAGAGATATCACTGTGACAGCGCGCGCCTGTGCTTCTTTCTCTTCCTCGTCTCTGCCACACCTCGCTGTCTAACTCCGTCACGCCTTTTCACAACAAACTCCCTGTTATCATCAACCCACCCTCCTCCATCTTCATTTCTTCTCCTATTCTTACAAGCCTCTACACTTTACCTCGTGTCTGTTTCCTTTTCTTCATCCTTCCTCCCATATATCTTTATCTTTGTTACCTGTTGTCACGCTTTCAATTTGATCTTTTCAACATTCCCCCTGCCACCTATTAGCAGCTCCAACACCTCCTTCACACTCCCTTGTCCTCTCTGTGTGTTCAGCAGGTGGTGGATCAACAGGGCGAGGACTGGGAGTCGCTGGAAAAAGTGTGTCTTCCGCTGAGTCTTAACCTCAGCCAGTGCCTGCTGGAGCTAAAAGAAAACCAGCAAGTGGTGGAGCTCAACAACAAGCTGCTGAAGAAGCACAGAGGTACGACATGTTAGTGTGAAGATAAATGTTGAGGTAGGGGAGGAAAGAATAGATGTGGATAAAGAAATAGGTAGAAGTATATAAACATGCTCAGTTTTTAGTTGTGTTTCCTTACACACCTTTACTTTTGAGTTTATAATATCAATATCGGTTGCTAGAACAAATGCCTGGCCTTCAGCAAAACCAGCCTTCACACTACATCAGTCCTTGATCTTTCTCTTTACCAGGGGAAGTAGAAACCAAACATTCACAACAGCATTTCTGAGTCTCTCTTTCCCTCCCCCGGCACCCACCCATGGACATCACAGTCAAAAATGAATTCATTGTTTTCTTTTTGTTTCTGCTATGACTAAATTATTTATAGTCGAGGCTGATGCGAAATGATTGTTCTTACGCTTTTCCTTTTCCCTTCTATTACTTTTCTCCAATTGTTGCCTTCTACTTTGTCTCCTGTCTCACCACTGGTGTTCAGTGCAGTTACTTCATCCTCCCTTTAGCAGTATTTCTTTAACCTTGTAACTTTGAATTGTACTGCTCTAAAGTTTTATTCTAGCTGACCATCTCCTGTTTCCTCAAGTCAGTATTTTATTTATACTCCCACATTGTCTTTTCCCTTAGGTAACTTTAAGGCTGTTTATCAGCGGGCGAGAGCACATTGCGCTTTGTGCAACGACGTGAAGGCTCGGAGGGACTTGGATATGGTGGAGAAATTGGACCCATCGTTCAAACCCTACGTCCGCAAAGAACTGCAGAAGCTGGGTGAGAGTGTACGCCTAATGCAGTGCCGCCAGAATAAGACTTACTGGGATACAACCCAGGAGAAATGGGGGCCCGATGGGAGCAAGACAAAGAGTGCAGCAAGAAAGAAGAATGTCAGATTTGCACAGAAAACTACTGATGAAAAAACCAAAGTAGAGAAGAAGACAGAAGTCAGTAAGATAGAAGACGAGGAAAGCTCAGAGAAGCCCGCCCCTGCTGAGACAGAGGGAGTGGATGACACAGGAACAGGGAAAGATCCAGATGTGAAAGCAGAGCTGAGCAATAAAGGGCGAGAGAGTGGGAGAGCAAGTGAAGATAATGAAAATACTGAGAGTGTCGCAGTTCCTGGGGAGGGCCAGGGTGCGCCAGATAATCGAGCGACAGATAAAGATAGCGATCCCGAGCCCACCGGCACAGGAAAAGATAATGTAGTGAGCAACAGATCAGTGCAGGATAAGGTTACAGAGAAGGTCAAATGTCCATCAAGTGGTGAACTGGGCCAAAGAGAAGCAGCCCAAGGGAACAAAGACCCCTGTGATAAGACAGGAAATGATGTCACTCAATCAGAATAGATCAAAGGGGAAGCTGAGGGAGAGAAGAATATATCTAGACTAACAGCAATATGGATGTAGAAAGTGAAACAGCAGGGAAGTTACGTGATGAACAGTCAAGCCTCAAGTCTCAACAGGAAATATTGATTCTGCCACATTGAAACCAAATATAAACAGAATGAGAAAAATTAATATCAACAACCTGCATTTGGCCCCATTCTGAGTTAAGTTTCATTATTCAGTTCTCAAAGGGATAACTGCACCCGCATAAAAAAAGCACAGGAAGATGAGGAGTTTGCCAAATACAAATATTTTTATTTCTGTACACAAAGAGTAGAAAGCAGCCAGTAACCCAATCGTTATTACAGTAAAAAGCCTTTCTTCAGAAAACGTTTTTATACAGATTAAAAACTCCAGAGAAAGGACAGCAAGAAGTGTTTGAGTGCTGGACAACAACATAAAATAAAAACCATTAAACAATTAACATTTGAATAATTAATGAGGTATATTAACGGTGATTAAAAAAATTAAAAAAACTCAGATCATCAGTATGATATGAGTGTGTGTGAAATGATGTTAGTGTTGTCAACAGATTAGTTGATTCATTGCCCTGTGATGTGAGAGGTGACACACTAGCTTAGATGCATCATAATAGCAAAAATGGAGGTTGTTAAGCAAAGGCAGGGGAGTTATGACCATTCGCATGTTGGCCGGCTACATGCAGTCTTGACAGAGAAAGCAGTGTCCTCTGGGGTGATATGGAGAGCCTTTTTCTTCAATCACACTGCTTCAGTCACGCCACAGGGAGCAGGGTACGTTCTGTGTGTTTGGGGAATATAGGGAACCATGACCAGCATAGAAAGATGTACATGGACCAGACCCCAGAGGATCACACGGTCAAAGAGAAACGACTCTCCTGCAGCTGGATGACAGTGGAAGTTAATTTATGACAGGTCTCCCTTGAAAAAGAGATTGACGATCTCAATGGGACCACCTTGTTGAATAAAGGTTTAATAATAATAGACGCTGGTGTCACACAGCAGCTGGGTGACACATGGGGACAAACGGTCATGTAACCACCTTCTGTATTTATTTCTATCCTACTCCTTTATACTGTCTTAAAATAAACACAATGCTGACTGGCAGCCCTATTGGGAGTTCCTCCTCTTCTTTTTTCTCCCACAATGTCACTGTGACATCAGCTTGTGTGCCCACAAACAGATGTATGGGGTTTCATCAATGTGTAATGAGATGTGTGAATACCAATAAATGCATGTCTGTGAATAAACATTGCTTTTTTTTCTTTTATCCATGACCCAAGCTGCCCTTTGTTTCGACCTGTGAGACCTTAACTGAAAACAAATCTTAAGTGTTGCCTGGGATGGATTCAACAGATGATAATGGCTCTTCAGCAGCTGAACAGCAACATGCTTTATTGGAGGTGGGAGTGAAGAAGAGGAGAAGGGCGATCTCTCTAGCTTCTCTTAAGGCTATTAGCATTTGTATTATGAACGGGAAAACATCACCTTTCAAATTCACAAACCTGTGGAACTGCATCCTTGGGGACAGTTCCCTAGCAACAGTATCAAAACTAACAGGCAGCGAGTGCTGAGGATGGTGGTGTCAAAGTGTGAGTGCTGTGTGCCTGGAGGGGGAGCCGTAATGAATGCAGCACATGGGTTTCAAACTCATGTGTGAGGTCAGAAAGTCGCTTTAAGGTCTAAGATGAATTCCTAACTGGGTGTATGTGTATCTCCAGCCAGTATGATTTACTGTGAAACACAGAGCCACAGTTTAGTTGTTTCAGGCGTTCTCTTATCCTGCTCCTGGAGATTTCCACTGTAGCAGGCACATCAAAATGGATCTCTCACACCAGCCCTCGAGCAATAAATGGATTGGGCTTTTTTTTCCACCTTTCCTTTCTTGTTTCTCAGATCTTTATTCCCTCCAGGCACCCCCAGCATGTTGATGTTCACCCATAAAAGTCCTATTATAACTGGTTTCAATGTATGGACGCTCATGCGCTGTGATCCTTCCTTTTCCATGTCCTGTGAGCCCAATTCAACCACCTGCTGTCCCTGAATGTAAAAACTAAATGAAAAAGTCCATATTTACGATGGATCCAGTTTGGTTTTAAGGCATTCAATGACTGTGCTGTGTTTAGAACAGAACCCACCCTATGACCCTCATACAATGAGGACAACTCCATTTCAACCTGGCGTCTCTTTGTGGATCTAAAAAGTAATTAGGTACGCATTAGCGAGGGAAAATGAGGCATGTAGAATCAATAGCTAGTGTTCTATAAAGATATAGACTGAGAGTAGGGATTATCCAGGATGATGTCAGTGTAGAGCCGCGTTATGGTGGTGTGCCCTGCTCCCCCCTGTAGTGTCTGGAATTGGCCAGGTAGACAGAGAGAGAAAGAGAGGCTTGCTGCCTGGATCTACCTCCTTCTCTTTCTCTGCACACTGCAGGAGGACGCTAAGTTCCCAGAGTGGACGCCTGCGTGCTGATATTAGTCAGCAGACATTTCCTGCACAAAATCCAGTTTCTGCCACAATTCAAATTGTCTCAAAACTGAAGGCTGGTCTAAATCCTGCGGGCCAGAGAGATGAAATGGATCTCCATTTCAAACGGAGGTGTCTGTATCTTTTAGAGAGGATGCATGGCACATATTATTGATCAAACAGGGAACCGTTTGTGCACAATGAGGGAAGGGTGAATGTTTATGTAGCAGCACATGTGTGTGTGTTTATGCATCTATGGTGAGTGCAAGTGGTTCTGTATCGGCGTAAAGGGCTCACTTAGGAGAGGCGAGCAATGAGAGTGAGAAGCAGTTGGAGAGGATTAGAGGAGCACAGTGTGTGCATACAGAGGCGCTGTGCTAGCGGGCACTTTGGCTGTCTTAAATAAATCATGGATTCAACTGATGATGTGTCTTTCTCACAAAGTAAATAAGCTTGTTGTGGGTGCTGTCAACTCCCTGACAATCTGCACCACGCAGCCACATGAGATACAGTCAGCCCAGCCCTGATCCTGCTTACTCTAGCAATCTCTAACAGCCTCAGTTCAAAAACAAAGAACAACAACCGTGATATCACATTCAAGTAGAAAACAACAAAACAGAAGACACAGACATTTTTGACAAAACAAGGGGATACACTTCGTATTCCTTTTTGCATTTTTTTTTTAAAGATCTCCTCATGGGAGGTCCAATTTGTGCTGTGGACATATAAAGCTTCACACCTCTGAACGACTACACAGATACTGGTTAGCACAGTGTCTTGGCTGGGCATGTCCTTTTACTTTAGTGTCTCCCTGACCTGCTGCTAACGTTAGTTTCCTTTGGCTGGTTAACACGGTGTCAGGCTGCACCCCTGAAGTCATGAAGCACAGCCTGGCCAAACGGACATCAGCGTTAGCCTTTAGCAGTTAGCATGAAAAAGGCTTTTAGTGCACAGATTCCAGTAGAGGGTTAGCTCTGGGTATCATAGCTGCTGCAGTGGTCTCAGGGCCTGGTGAACTGTGGCCGACCTCAGCCGTACGGAGCTCCTCCCTCTGCCATCAGGCGTCCTTTACAGGTCTTCATTCTGCTCCTCCAGGCCCACTTGGTGTTAGATGTGTGAGGTGGAGCCTGACATTTGGAAATAAGAAGAAACAAAAGCTTCAAAATGTCAGGAAAGCAAGCACAGGAAATGAGCAAATGATCTTGGTTATAACTGTGGAGGCTATGATTATGATAATCCCTTTCTTTGTTCAAGTTACAGGCCTCTGACTGCCCAGTCAATTGTCTTTCAAATGAGACGGGGCAGTTTGCAAAGTGTGTGACAGTGATGCTCCCTTTCTTTCTCTGTGCTACTGTCTCAGTCTCTATTCATCTTACTCCTCCTCCCCGCCATTTAATGTCCCCGTCCCTCCCCCGGACTATCAACCCACAGCAGTACATGTTTGCTCTTCTCTTCATCTCCCACTCTCCCACGGGTGATGGAGGAGCAAAGAGTGTCTCTCTGAAGCATGGATTGCTACAGTCCGTGCAGCCGTGACTGAACTCACCCGGTTCTGAAGGGAAGACGTTTCTAAGCTGCTCGATGACTTCCTGGAGCTGCAGCACCGTATCCTGTTCGTGCGCCATATCATCTCCTGTGACACACACACACACACACACACACACACACACACACACACACACACACACACACACACACACACACACACACCAAATAAGTATTTTGATCTTGTACTTGAGTAAAAGTAGAAATACCAGAGTGTAGGAATACTCTGTTATAAGTTATAAGTCCTGAATTCAAAATGTTACTCAAGTACAAGTACTCATTAAGCAAATGGCCGATTTCAGAATTATATATTATATCTTTTGATTATAATTATTGAGGCATTAATGTGTTTATCAAAGCTGGTAAAGGTGAAGCTAGTTTGAATGACTTTGTATGCTGCAGGGTAGCTTGTGAATGTTTCTCCATGTATAATTAAAGTCTTATTTAAGGGTTGATTATATTTCAAATGCTTAATCCAAATCTGTAAAGTAACTAAAGGTATTAAATAAATACAGTGGAGTAAAAGTACACAATTCACCTCTGATTTGCAGTGGAATAGAAGTAAAACATAGAAACACATTTAAATACTAAGTAAAATACAAGTATCTCAAAGTTGTACTTTAGTACAGTACTTAAATGTACTTGGTGACTGCACCACTGCACACAGAAGGTTACACGTCTATAAGAGGTTGTGGGGGGCAGGAGGGGAGGATGCATGGTTTCACACTGTGTGCATGCGTCAACACAACATCAGAGAATGGCTGCTCGTCGCTGACCTGCTGCTTCAGTGTCGGTGGTCTCTCTGCTCGCATGCTCTCCGTGGTGACCCCCCCCACCAGACACGGGAGAAGACAGGGTCGACGGCTCTGATCCGTTGGCCTCCGAGTCATCTTTGGGCTGTTTTTTAGGAAAGACTGATTATCATTCATTCCGAATAATTGCTAATATCCATCATGTTGGAGGCTACGGAGACATTTAGCCTTTCACAAAGTAATGAATGTGATAGTTAATGACACACAGCCAGCAGCCCTGGCATCTCTGAGCAGAATTAGTTCAAATAAGGATATTATGCCCAACAGCTGTGACACCAAATCTGAAAATTACTGTGATCTGAGCTTTGATAGACAGATGCAAAAGATATTACACTGCACCGCACACAGCATTATTGCAGAAAGAGGCAGGGAGGTCTCGAATCACAGTCAAAGATGTACATGTATAACGTAGCTCTCTAGAAGATACAGTATTCCCAAATATCATGTATATGCAAACTCACTATCTTTTGTATTTCTGTAAGCAACATAGCAGCAATATCCAGGGGGTGAGTTAGTTCAATTGTTGCAGTGAAATGTGGGGTCTGCAGAGATTGTAAGGATTTCATACATAAACACTTCCAAACTACAAGGAGGTTTTTCTGATTTTATTTTCAGAGGAAATGAAAGTGTGATATTGGTCTTGGGAGAATGAAATAAAAGAAAAAAACATATTTAAAAAAACAAAACAGGAATATGTACCTCCTATTTCTCTTTACTCTAAATGTCCACATCTTTAACCTGAAGAAAACACACTCGTCTCTCACTCTCAGTGTCTTTCTCCCCTGTCATTCACTAGCTTTGTTTTCGTTACTTAGAGACCTACATGCACAATTTACATCTACTCCCACGGCTAACAATTGACACTTTCTTAATATAGCAACCCAGCTACTGTGTATGTCAGCTCCCACTCTCATATCCATCCTTCTCATACCTGTCTTTAGACTTAGAGTGCAGTGAATCCTTTTATTTGACGTCTTAAGGCTTATCCCCTTTCATAACTCTTTCTGTGCTGTACATTTTGGATTTCCCACTAATGGTTTTTCCATCTCGCCATTCCATCCTTTGTATACACAATGTATGATACGTACTGTGCTACCGGATGTAGGCACTGTGATGCATACAAATGTTGAAAGTCATTGAGTCTCTGCCTTCCTGTGCCCATTATTCAGGCTGCAGCTCCAGTTCAGTAACACATTATGAATAAAGCTGAGTTCATCAAACCCCCTTAACAGACCAGATGCTGCTGTGATAGATAAGTGGCTGGAGATCAAACCTATGACCTTCAGTGTTTATCAGACAGTGACTTCTGCTATTCAGCGGATGGCCCCGGACACTAAGGGCCAGGTCACCTTTAGCAGCAGGTCAAGATTTAGAAACCAGTAGTTACTGTAGCTCGCCAGAGGGTCTAAGGCAGCGACGGAATAAGGGATTGGAAGTACGTTTCTTTGTTGGGGAATTTGGTCTTACACCATAGCACATCAGAGACACTAGCGGGACCTAGCAAGACTTTAAAACAGGCAGTGCAATCTTAAAATCAAGTGCAGCTAGGATATTGTTGCTTCTCTTATAAAGTAGTTCAAGTTTTGCAGCAGAGTTTTGTAAAATAAATTATTCATACCAATTTATATAGATGAGATTAAAGGCTCTGTTTGAATAGTATTACTTAAAGCTTGCAGACTAGAGAAAAGAGTGTTCAGATAGAACGTTTTAGTGTACAAATATCTTGGATTCTGAGTCGCTCAAATGTAGGGACATTTTTGGACATTCAAAACCAAGTATTAATTTCAGCAAGGCAGAACCTAATAGGGCACGTCAATAGTCCCAGGCTTTATCAGGACATGTAGTTTCGTATCTTCCATAGCAATGGAAGTCAATATGATATCTCCACATAAGGATCTCACAAAATGGAGGAGCGTAAGAGGAGAAGGCATTAAAAGAAGTAAGTGGAAAAAGCACTCAGATGCAGTGGATGGTGTGTTTCACAGACTGTAAGCTGCTCAGATAAAGCAAGCACTTATACCACTGTGTGTTCAGAGAAAGGTGGAATACTTCTTTAAAAACAACCTAATTGCTTTTGTGTTATTTCAAGTATACAGTTCTGAGTTTATCTTGAGCAACTAAAAGTATTGTTATATTTATGGGCCCTTTATTTCCTAGACAAATCCCAATAGTGTCCTATATAGAACAACTATATGGAAAATAGACCTAGACATAGACTGCAGGTCAACATGAAAAAATACTTAATCTGTCGACTTACTGTACAAACATACTCACCATTCAAAATGAATGCTGAATAAAGTATTCAATAATAAATGAAGAATGAATAAATAAAACTAGCACAATCTGAGCTTGACAGAATTTTTTTTTTCCAGAAAAGTACACAATTATAAAATAAACTACAAAGGTTCATCAAAATTGGAATCTGCAAAATAGGTACAGTACTATGGCTTCAAAATGAATGTGGTGGAGTAAATAGTACAATACTTCCCTCTGAAACATAGTGGATTCGTGGTAGCAAGCAAGTGCCTTCTAACTCTCCTAAAGTACAGTAACATGTTTGTATGAGTGCTCGTCTCTCTCCACCCCCCACCCCCGTGCCTCTCAGAGAGGGGTACCTGTAGCAGGAGCTCCCTCAGCCTGCGGAGCTGCGACTCCAGCTGCTTGTTGTGGTCCTCCAGGATCTGCATGCGGGTCTCCAGGCGCGTTTTGTGCTGCCGGAGGACCCGTGCCTCGGCCAGCAGCTCCTCGTCCTGCGGCCCCCCCTCGGTGGGTGAACCTGGGCCGCCCTCTCCGGCCTCGGTCAGCATGGGAACAGACGCCGCCTCCTCGTGCTTCCACTTGAGCCTCCTGTACTCGCTCTGCAGCACCCTGAGGACCCACAGAACAGATGGAGGGAAAACTGTTAGCATGCAAAACACATAAACACAGCAGAAGGTATTCACCCAGCTTCCACCTGGCTACACGTAATGACCTGACATGCGTGTAATTTATATTATTAGGGTCATTTCACCACATGCATACATATTAATAAAACCATCCTCATTTTGAACACGAGCTGCAATAAATCACTGTTCTCCTTCTCTCCCATGAAGGGTATCATCTGATTATGTTCTGTGCTGTGAAGCATTGCTAAAGACCTGCACATATCACATGGTCATCCTTACGCCCAGTGGACAAAACCCTTTCATGGGCTTTACTTCCTCAGTGATTGTATGTGTACAAATATTAAGCACAAAATAATTGACACATTTTCCTCCTTTACATTTTTTTGTCTCGTTATCTTCTGACCTTGTTGTAACACAATATATGAAAAGCTATTCAACTGGAGAAAAGGATAAAGTACAAAGCTGATAAAACAATGTTAAAGTGGACCTATCATGCTATATTTGAATAATATATTGTAGGGCCATACCTATATAAAACATGTCATTTCGCTCTATTTGCTCTTTTCCGGCCCTGTTTTTGCAAGGGCTGATTCTGCTTTTGTGGCAGACTATAGCGCCACTTACAGGCCTGGCATATGTACTACAGCGTCTCCAGCGCTTTCGAGCAGCAATGGCCGTGGAAACCCCACATTCCCCTGATAGGTGGAGAGTTGCCCATATAGGCGGAGCACCCCTTTTCTGACGTCAGAACAATTTAAATCTGTATCAGTCTGTCTCAGATCCGTTGCAGCCCCGTTTTTAGAGATTTGGGTATGGAGGAAAAGAGAGAGGGTTGTGTTTTCTGACACTTGGTGAGTTCCCTGACACACCGGGGACACATATTCATGTACAAAAGACGTACAAAAGTACATTTTGCATGATAGGTCCCCTTTAAGTATATATTTTTTAAGCTGTTAAAGTAGAGCCAGGACCCCCAACAAAGAAGCAAAGGGTTAAGGTTGTTACTGATTCTTAAATTGCTGTATTGTTCAGGTATGAGCCACATAGGAGCCACAGCAGAGGACATAAATAAGTCACAGCAGCCTCCATAGCCATAAATAAGGACAATGGAGCCCACTGCAGTATCATAACTGAAATGGGTCAAGGTTTCAGACACCCAAAAGGCAGAAGTGTATTTATGTCTGTGTGTAAGTAGCTGGATGTCCCTGTGTGTGTGTTAAGGTCACAACCAAATTGGAGACAAGAGAAAAATATTCATATGAATCATTGGCATAAAGGTTGCCTCTAGTAACCAATTAGCGAGACAGGAGAAATTAATTCGTTTCATTTATGGAAAATGCCTGAGCCTCTTAGCAAGTAGGGCACAATACATTCAAATTAAATCATTCCAATCTAAACTGAATGTGTTTCAGAGATGCTTTACATCACACTAGGAAACCTGTAATGTCCCTCTATGCAGGAAACCAACACACTGTCAAGGTGAAGTATAACTATGTGTCAGGTATTCAGACAGAAAATATGTGTTGTTATCCTAACACTGTTTACTGGGATTTAGTGTGTGAAGGTAGGCAAATAGCAGCAGAAGCAAAAAAAAAAAAGTTTAATGGATCTGCGTAAACAAACAGATTATTTTATTATGCTTCTTGGGGAGCTTAACAAATCGAAATAACTCCCTGAAGAAACGTTAACATCCCTGCTATCTATAATCACATCAACACCATTTACTTATGTTCACATAAACAGCAAATGTTAGCAAATGTGAGTCCAACTCCAACACCTAAACAAATCAAGAAAGGATACTCAGGACTCTCACAAAAGGGCCTTTGTAAAATTATTCTAATCTAATTATTATTTTATTTTATGTAGTGTCTGATTGGTAATCGCACACCTTTTCTTTTAACCAGGAACACTTAATGCTGTACCATGTGATCTATGTACCATGTATGTTCATAAATAAAAACTGTAATTACAAAAAAAGAAAGAAAGAATACTCGCTCCGAATCAATGTCCTAAATCACTTGTTTTTGTTTGTTTTCCCGGACACAGACCTGTTCTCGTTCTCCAGGCGGGCCAGGGTGCACTGGAGCTGCTCCTGGTCCTGGTGCTCCAGGTGGGCCAGCAGCATGTGTTGTCCACAGGGGGAGTCATGGTCCAGGGCTGGGCTGGAGTGACGCAGGAGGTACTGATCTTCATCCCTGAGTCCCCCACACAGGAGACAGCACACTGAGCCACCAGCAAACAGCCACCAGCAGCGCAAAGCAGAGCCAGGGGCCAAACAAGGCAAGGCAAGCAGGACGAGGAGAGGTATCACAGGACGAGGCGCGATCAAACAAAACCAGACAAACAGGGACGGGACACTACGACAAATGCATTGTGCAAGGTTCCCAGTCCAAATATGAAATGGCCGGTCATAAACTTGGCTCACCACACTAAGATCCCACTCTCTTTTATTAAAAATGGTTACGCTACATCACAATATAATGCCCAAATAATAAAAACTTTATCGACGATGGAACGGAAAAACTTAATGTTCAGATGTCTGTTTGAGAGCAGACATATGGCTGTAAAACCACAAATGCATGTGCAATTATTTTAATGGAAAGACAGCTGTTTGTCAATTTATATGTTCCAATAATGCTTTGGGCTATTAGCAAATTATTTATTGAAAAAACAAGTTATAGGCTTTGAATTGTAATGCCACATTATACATCCCATTGGTATTTATAGGCCTACTTAAAGCAGACTGGTTATGTCTAGAGATGGCCAGATCCATATCAGTTGCAGAAAACCTTGGTCAAGCTTGATGATGCGGCGGTCTGTTTCTTTATGAAAAAATATCTCAGCATTTCCTATAACAAGAAACCTGAAGGTATTTCTTTTTTTAATGTATTTTTGGTCTTTCTTATTTTGGTCATTCACATCACCACTTACCTCCGTTGTTCATTTGATAAAATGGTTTAATGCAGAACATCTCATATCACTGAATTGAAAGCTGTTATACAAAACATTTACATTTCTATGATAATAAAATGCATGAACCACTTATGGAAGACTGAAGGTTACATTGATGTTTGCATCTAAAGGATTGATTCATTAATGTCTGTATCCTATCAATAGGCAGACTGTGAACTGAGAACAATGCACACAGATGACGGGTAAAGGCTACACATACGGGCGGCATGATCCAGGAGAGAAAACAGCATGAGGCCAGCCAAACCGCAGATGGAGGCACAGGTAGCACAGCAGCATGTTCAGAGCCATGCAGCAGTAAAAACAGACAGGCTCTGACAGACAGAAGGACGGATTGGTAGTATAAAAAGAACAAGACACAAGGCCACATGAGGGTAAAACAGCACCACTACACATAAAGGGTAGAAGTGAAGTGTCATGCATTCAAACAAACTTCCAGGCATCAAATTACAGAGAGACAGAGATACAACAGCTTCATGCACTGATATACACATTTTTGTGACAATGCTCCACCCAAGCAAAACTCTAGATACGTACACATTGGAACTAAGACACTGTGAGCAGGCTTGAGAGGAACGGATTCTTAAAAGTGTTTCCCCGACTGAAAGTAAGTAATGCAGTTTTATCTCAGCCTCAAACTAGCTTTTAATGTGGTGTCAAGCACAGGCTTCACTCACAGCACGCACACATAAGTCACGTCTGAAAAGAAATAATGAGCACACTTCACAAAACACACACACACTGACACACACCTGGAGCCCTAAAAGATCATATACCACTTTGCATGGAGCTGCAGGGCATGCTACCTTGACTTTAAGGTTCAATACAAAAATGAAAAATACCTGAGTGAAGGAGGTTGATAGCTCACTCAGATGTCAACTAAATAAGACTTGTTAAAAAAAACATGGACGACTCTTTCCACCTGGCGCTTCCCACATTGAGGACTCACTGTCCTCAATGGAGGACTTGTTGGATGCTTCTCTCACATCAAACACCCCTCATTACTTTCATTTCTTTAACCTAGCCACCACCTGCCATTCAGCTAGCTTTCTAAAGACACACACACACACACACACACACACACACACACACACACACACACACACACACACACACACACACACACACACACACACACACACACACACACACACACACCTCTCTACTCAGCGGGGTTTTGTGTATCAACCCACAGCCAAGGACTTTACTCACAGCAGGCATGTGCATGAGAGGGCACTGTGTGCACACTTTTCTCGCTGTGTGTCCTTTTCCTTATGTGGCTGATTATTTATGTCACGTCACCCAATTTCTCCCTAACAGTGGAACATGCATGCACAAGCCTGAGCACACACAGAAACACAGACACAATCAAGGTTTCAAGAGGACAGACTGTACACACAAAACACACACACATAATCGACATGAAACGCTGTGGTTGTTGTGGTGGGGTAGTTTGGGGTGTGCAGCATACTCACAGACTTTCATCAGGAGACAGGCTGTCGGTGAAGAATGAACAATTCTGGCTCTCCATTTCCGCCAATCTATAGATACACAAACACACACACACACACACACACACACACACACACACACACACACACACACACACACACACACACACACACACACACACACACANAGATCACAGCTGAAAAAAATATCATTACTGAGAGAAAAATGGTTATTTGTTTAAAAAAAAGGAAAGAACGGTGAATGGACTGAGAATCGGAGCTCAACACGCAGAGCTGCTTTTCCAGTTACGGCATGACTGTAGTGTGTTTGTGTGTGTGTGTGTGTGTGTGTGTGTGTGTGTGTGTGTGTGTGTGTGTGTGTGTGTGTGTGTGTGTGTGTGTGTGTGTGTGTGTGTGGACCTGTCTAATATGTCTCCCCAAGGGTAAGAATTTCAGACACTAACCTGCCAGTGATGAGAGTTCAAAGTCAGCGCAGAGTTGCAATAAATACGGGGAATGAATTCAAATAAGAAATTAGATTTCTCCCTTTATATCCTATAATTACTAACAGGTAGGTAGGCCAGAGGCAGAGAGAGGGAAAGAGAGAGAGAGCTAGTAGAAAATGCATTTTGTATAAAAGCTGTCAACAAATATGCTGTATAGCTAAGCCTAAGATACAGCTTATACATGCTTCTATGCCAAAGAGCTCCATTGTTGTCTAAAATTATTTTTAAAAAACACTGAATGAGCCACACTGCTGCACTGGCTGACATGTTTCTTCTTCGTTTAGAGTTAATCCAAGATACAAATTCCTGCCGCCAAAAATACTTACTATAGCACCAGATCTGTGGATGAAAATAGTCCCGAACAAAATCACTATTTAATTCTGTTTGGGTACAATAACTAAAAGTGACAGTGCCCAGAAGAAAAAAATGAAATTACGCATTCATGACCCATTTATAAATATTCAGTAGTTGTGAAAGGTCTTTAGGCAGAGATTAACAGATAACAATAGAAAAGATGCAGTCACTCAGGAGAGGTGTAGTGGAGACCAAAACAAAGGTCAAGTTTGAAGATGGGTGGGGTCTGAGTAAAGGCATATTAGAAGGGGGGTGATGCTAAGGATGCTAGATGGGTTCTGGTTTTATCCTACTACACGTCTGTGAGAAATTGTCATGATTAGCATAGTGACAGTATGCAGCGATAGGTTAAGATCTCCTCTCTCCTCTCTGCCTGTCTAGCTGTTTGCATTCATGTCCCATAAGTACATGTTAGTAACTGGGTCACCGGGGCAACATCTTCAGAGTTGTTCTGCCTCTTGTCTTACATCTTGCCAGGTTTAAGTCTGGATTATGGATTGTTTCTGTGTCTCTTGCTGTGGTCTTGCTCGATGTCCATAGCAACTAACATTTTATTAGACATATTCTTGGAGATGTTTTTATTGTGATTCTTGTTATTAGTCATATCTGTAGAGTTCCTATTGTTGCTTTTCCTTTCCTAAGAAATGTATTATAGTTATTATTATTGTTAGCGACATCTGAAAGCTGCTTGACATCCTCGTAGATCCATGTTTTTATATATGTTCACAACATTTTTGTTATATGGAGGGTCTATGTTGTAGTTTAATGATGTTCTTATCTTTACACACCACATTTTTACACCTCTGTCCTTCCTGAGAAAGAGCCTTGATTGATATGGCTGGAATTTGGTGTTTTTAGGGATTTGTTCCTTGCTCGCTGCAAGGGTCAAAGGACAGAGGGTGTCTTATGCTGAACTGATTGCTGGGCGCTCTGAGCCAACTTTGTAACATATTGCTTGATTGATTGAGTTATGGCCTTAAAGGTCACAGTGACCCTGATCTTTGAAACCCAAATCAGTTCAGCCTAAGGTAAAGATTGAGGTTTGTACCAGATCTAAAGGAATTCCACTAATGAAGTTCTGAGATATCTCTTTTACAATTACTGTAGGATGTGAGGTCACTATGACCCTTTGATACCCAACTCTACTGTGTTCATAAAGGGGTCCGTGCGAGCCACAAGAATGTCCCTCTAGGGTTTACTGAGAAATCGCTTTCATGAGAAAAACATTATTCTCCAGTGCTAAATTCAATTTCAACTGATTCAATTAATTATTTAAACTGTATTCAAACAGTTCATTAATTGATTACAAAGTCTTTGTAAAAGATAAATAAGGATTATTTTCGGACATGACCAGAAAGCAAGTAGGTCTCCAATAAAGCTCCTCATCCATATGGAGAAAACATATGTCTATGAAACACAGATGGCTTCCTGACAGCCAACAACTTGAGAGGCTTTGTAGGAGTAAAGTTGCTAAGATACCATTTCGATACAGTGGTGTTGTCTCAGCAGGCCAAGGAAGGCAATGTGTCTCCGCTTTGACTACATTTGCATTTCTGTTCTTTTAGTTTATTTTGCTGAAGGCTATTGGCAGATACAGTTTTATGCAGTCTTTTCTGAGTCAATATAGCTGGGTAGCAAATCATTCTGTAGCAACAAATGAGTACGTGTAAAAGGATTTAACAGGAAAGATATAACTGTAGAAAGGATGAAAGTGCTAGAGAGAATGGAGAAAGTGGGATAATAGGGATTGAAAAATATGTGGGTGGGAAACTATAGAAGAGTGGGATCAAAGATGGAAAAAGGGAAATCAGGAGAACAGAAAACAGGAGAAAGGAAGAGATAAGACTGGTAAAGGGGACAATTGTGTGGTGAGTGCTCCCTCTGTGTTGGCAGGGTTGAAGGCAGTTGAGGGTAAGAGCCTAAGAGAAGTCATACACAATGGCGCACACACACACACACACACACACACACACACACACACACACAGGATGAATCAGACTAAATGCAGGAAAAGGCTACAGATGTATGTCATCAGATACTCTAGAGGGGAAATATGCTTTATATCCTTAAGCACATGATACAACTAACAATTAGTTCAGTTTAATAAGTCCTGTGGTATTTTCATGTTATGGACTGCAACTAAACAGCTAGCTGTCCACAAACATCTGATCAACAAGACTGAAAAAGTGCAAACATTTACTTGACAAAGAGTATGATCAATACAAGTGTCCACAAGAAGGGGAAGATACAATATTGATAAAATACTGTACACTGTCTATCAGCATTCAGGCAAAAACGCGGTTAAATGCTCTGTCAAAGAGCTCGATAGTTAGCGATCGTGTACGTGTGTGTGTGTGTGTGTGTGTGTGTGTGTGTGTGTGTGTGTGTGTGTGTGTGTGTGTGTGAGAGTAGGGAGTGAGCTGCTGTGTGGCTTTTCAGGACCAAGGACAGCTCCTTTAGTTCTGCACTATGTCTTGCTGACTGTTGCCCTGTGCGTGCTGCTCTGTTATAACACATTCATAAAAAAGCTGCAGTAGGGGAGAACATCTCAAGTGTTTTGAAAACACTTGGCGCTTGTTTAAGGTTTGATGGCACAAATAAAGATCACAGCTGAAAAAAATATCATTACTGAGAGAAAAATGGTTGTTTGTTTAAAAAAAATGAAAGAACGGTGAATGGACTGAGAATCGGAGCTCAACACGCAGAGCTGCTTTTCCAGTTACGGCATGACTGTAGTGTGTGTGTGTGTGTGTGTGTGTGTGTGTGTGTGTGTGTGTGTGTGTGTGTGTGAATGAGAGGCACAAGCAAAGTCTATTTACTTCATACTTCAAAACTAAATAACTTGGATAGATATGGAGCCCCATAGGATTGACAACATAGACTTAGACATTCTAAATAGGGCGAAAGTGGATATTTTGGCTTCTGATAAGGATATTAAATAATCAAAAGCAGTTGAACACCTAAACTACACCTACATGATTTAGGATTGCGTCTCACACTCTCATAAATTGGGTAATTATGTTTCTAAATTAGAGGTGGCATCCAACATTTGTTTGCACCTCACTCATTTGGCTGTGCAGCTGTTATCCTTTGGTGATTATGGATAATACACTAATAATCTATACTCATATTAGCTTTAATGATAACAATGAAGCAATGTTTACTACAATTCTTACCTTCACCAATTAGGCTATGATTTCTGTTTTTTTTAAAAAATGTATTTATCAGGAAAATGTAAAAACTAGTAGCACAATTGTATTGAAACTTGGTGGAGGGATGTAACATGCAGTAGAAATAGATCCCATTCCATTTGAAAGTGGAAACAGGCTTTGTTTAACGGCACATCCTTTCGGTATGACTGCACTGTCTGAGTGCCCTTCTTGTAAGTAGTGTTTTCTTTGCTTTAGTGTTTTTCTCACTTAGCATTAGGTCAATGCAACAGCATCAGTAGCCATGTTTTATCACTCCTCTCTTGTTTACTTTTAAGGGATAAAACCTTCACTCTCCATCACTATCATCTTTGAGTCCTCAACTCTAGAGCTCACTTCTGAATGAACAAGGTCACACGTTCTCTGATGCCTTTCCAAATAAGATGTGGGAGGTTATGATCTAAAGAAGATATAGGTTAAGTAACATTGGGTACACTACAAAATAATATATCTCCATCTGCTGCAGTCCTCTGTCTATCACATGTTAATGATAACAGTGTTAGACGATCAAAGGGTGGGTTTCTCCTTCAAGTTAGGTAATCAACCAGCAGAGAGAACCTTGTGATATGTGGGGAGCCTTGTGGCTGCCTAGATAGATCTACACACATACATACAGGACTGTCTCAGAAAATTAGAATATTGTGATAAAGTTCTTTATTTTCTGTAATGCAATTAAAAAAACAAAAATGTCATACATTCTGGATTCATTACAAATCAACTGAAATATTGCAAGCCTTTTATTATTTTAATATTGCTGATTATGGCATACAGCTTAAGAAAACTCAAAAATCCTATCTCAAAAAATTAGAATAGTTCCTCAGACCAAGTAAAAAAAAAAGATTTATAACAGCAAAACACAATCAAACATTTGAAAATGTCCATTAATGCCATTAATGGACATTTTCAAATGTTTGATTGTGTTTTGCTGTTATAAATCTTTTTTTTTTACTTGGTCTGAGGAACTATTCTAATTTTTTGAGATAGGATNACACACACACACACACACACACACACACACACACACACACACACACACTCTGCTCAGCTCTCTTGCATCAGTTCAGCCTTTCTGTATATTGATGTTGGCAGGTATCGCAGTCTGAAGCAGTTCAATGTGGACATCTGCCAAACATGTTTCCTAACCGGCCGCACTACCAAGGGAAAGAAGCTGCACTACCCCATCATGGAGTACTACACACCGGTAAGACAAACATTACCTAGTGCTTTCACAGAATACAAATGTAAGGCTCCAGGGACAAATAAAACTCAGATGATCTTTAAAAAATACTACCTCATGATTCCTGCTGCCATAACTTTTTTGTGCCCCCTCTCCACTGAGATCTTAATCATGTGTGCTGTTAGATAGGCTTGCACTGCCTGGGCCCTCATAGTATGCAGAGATTGAGTGGCACTCAACGCTAACATCCTTTTTGGCTCACATAGTGCACACATAACGTCCTATTTGGAGCATACATTGTGCACTAAACCCCAATAAAGCCAGAGTCTTAAGCCGTTGCACGCGCAGTCTCCAAAGTCAAGTTCACTCCCGAGGAGGAGCTGTAGCGGCAGTGTGTGAACGGACTGAGACGGTGCCAGATTTAATCTCTAATCAATTCTGAGCTGCAAAATGTGGCAAAAGGCCATCTCTAGAATTGTTTTTTTTTACAGGACAATATTTTATATCAGCTAGCTACAGTTTCTTTTACAGCAGTGAGCCAGGCAGGCACCACAATTTATACCATGATACAGAAGGCAGGGAACGATTGGGAGAATCTCAAGGAAGGAAGCAGAGAGAGCGGCAGAAACTGAATGAGAAAGCAGATGGAGGAAGTTAGTCCTCCAAAGTAAAAAATAAGACAAAGCTTTGTTAAGACAGAGTTGACTAGTTTCATATGAGGTCATTTTAGAGGAACCAACTGTTTTAAAGAATCCTTAAGAGGTGTAATTTATCTCTCCAAACTTTCTACCTCCGCCACCTCTCGCCCCCCTCCCCAACCCCTCGCCACCTTAATCACAACTCCAGACGACCTCGGGGGAAAAGATGAGGGACTTTGCCAAGACTCTGAAGAATAAATTCAGGTCAAAGCAGTACTTCACCAAGCACCCGCAGAGAGGTTACCTGCCAGTGCAGTCTGTACTGGAGGCGGAGAGCACAGAGACGTGAGTCCCACACATAAACACATACATCTCTCTGTCTCTGCTTCCTGTCATCCGTCTATCACGTTCACCCATTCAAACTCCTAGCTGTTGTTGGCTGATTATCATACTCTGACAATTTTGGAGCACTCCTGCTTGCTTAGATGGGTTAAAGCAGGGGTGTCCAAACTACGGCCCGGGGGCCAAATGCGCCCCGCAGGCCGTTTTGAATCGGCCCTCAGCTAATTCAAAAAGTATAATGAAATATGACCCACAAAAGAAACTTGTGCTTGTTTTATATTGTACTTCCTAAATATATATATATTACACAGTATTCATGTCATCCCACTTTCCAAATAAATTCAGACAAATCTAAGTTGATGAGAAAAAGCTTATTTACATAACAAGCTTGAAATAGACCCTTCATATTTCCTGTTTTTATAAGCAATCTGAGGCTTTCATTTTAAGGAATAAGCTGCCAACAAAATAAATGAAACCCGATGAAGAGCTGTGATGTAGGCGTTTTTTTTCTTAAAGCTTTTTCAAGTATCAATCACAATTTTCCAAATTTGAATGATTGTGTTTATTTATAACTTAACTGACATGGCAATATACCTCACCTCTAGTGAGTGGCCCAGTCCTTCGTATGTTTCTCTGGATGTGGCCCTCGGTGAAAAAGGTTTGGACACCCCTGGGTTAAAGGGATGGCTCTGTGTTCAGAATTCATAAAATGCTGTTCCTGAGATCCTGAGGCTCAGATGCCTTATCACATGAGCAAGTTTCACCCAAAGGGTAAAACAAGAGCCATGAGATTAAAATCCATGAGATCATCAAGATGCATATCTTAGGGCTACGACATTACCCTGGAAGATTTAGAATGATTGTGGCTCCATGTTTTGTCTAATTGTATTCTGTTAGGTTCACCTTTTCAAACTTCAAACATTATGCGAGTTTGAGATGAGGCGCCAGTGGAAAAACAGACGAATGAATCAAAAGTAAAAGCACTCTTAATGCAGAATGATTCTTTATATTGTCAAATAAAAATATGATTCTAATGTATTATTAATTCAAATAAACTAAGTATATATTCATAACTTATTATACAAATATAAGCGATGCATTTATGTATATGAAGCTTTTTTATATGTGAAATGTTGCTGATTTTATCATTTCTTATACATCTTGTATATTTATCGTACGCCTTGGGTAGGACGATAGTTCCCCGCCTGGAAGCCCCTCAAGGGAGTTCTATTATACATCTGAAAGGCTCTAATGCTATTTACAATATAGGGAAGAAGAAAAGCATTTCTACAACATGAAATGTTTCTCAAGTCTTTGCTTTCTCCTCTAGGATGAAACAGCTAAATGACTTCACCCTACAGGCAGGATAACTGAGGCAGGAGCTATAGAGAGGAGGTCTAGGAAGAGCTTTTTAATAAGGTGCAGCATCTAACATTGCAATATAAAGCGTGTCTCCATCAGAGTAGGAAGAAGCCGTGTAGCAGTGGGAAATGAAAGTGTTGAGGTAAAGTACAAGTGCTCCAAAATGTTACCTAATTGCAGCGCTTGCATGAATGTACTTAATTATTTTCCTCCCCTGTGAAACGAGTCGTATCTCTCTTGTTTGCATGCTGACAATCTTCACAAATGAAACTCTCTTCCTTCTGGATTATACGAATATGCGTTTTTTATGTAACCACTCCTTCACATTTGCAGAGTAATGGCACTGGTTTCTGTTGTTTCCAGGCCGTGCTCCTCACCCAAGCTGCCCCATGCAGACACACACAGCAGGATTGAGCATTATGCCAGCAGGTACGTGGCTTACTGCAATACATTAAACCACTTCACCAGTGTATCTCTCCTTCCTCTCCAAATCAACCTTTCTTTGTACCCACTCCCCCCCTGCTTCCACCCCCCCCCTGCTGTCTCTGCTCCCCCCACTCTAGTCTTCACCTCACACTGATTGAAGTATTGATTTAGCTGCGTTGTGTCCTGCACTCCAGCCAGGATATAGACTGTACTGCCCAGCAGCTTCCTTCCCCCTCAAACTCCACAAGAACACCCAATAGCCCACATGACCAGTTTGTAGTTGTTGTGTGTGTGTGTGTGTGTGTGTGTGTGTGTGTGTGTGTGTGTGTGTGTGTGTGTGTGTGTGTGTGTGTGTGTGTGTGTGTGTGCTAGTACTAGTACTATATATATAT